CCTGAGTGTAGCAATGTATGCAGGATATGCTTCCCGCTAAAGCACCAGCAGCAGCTAAGAAGATTGAAGAATCCAATGTAAGTTCTGATTCTGAAAGCTCTGACTCCGATGTATTCATTTACCTACTGATTTTGAAGTGGAAACTTCATCATTTAATAGCATTTTTAATTATCTTTTTGCCTGATTTCACCATGTCTCACTTCATTGGTTTTCAGAAGCCATCTACTGAAGTGAAGAATTCTGCGGTTGCTACTGCACAAAAGAAAAACCAGGAATTGGACGGCTTTGATAGTGATTCTGATGATTCATCAGATGAGGTAAGAATCACATTTCTAACAATGCATGTCTATGTGAGATAATTGAGTACAAAAGCATTAAACATATTTCTTGCACTTACCATTCCCCTGATCTTGTCGTTTAATTCTGTGGACTACTCATATTTCTTAGTCCTAACTAGAAAAACCGTTTGCAGGATATGGCCACTAAAAGACCAGTAGCCAAGAAAGTGGTAGAATCCAGTGAAAGTTCTGATTCTGACTCTGAGGAGGTATCTACTAGTTATATGAAAACTAAGGCTTCATCATTCTGTCTTTATAATGTGATACTAACATTTTCAATATATTTCTAGGACACCACTGCTAAACCAGTTCAATCTTCCAAGGCTGTTGCTGTTATAAAGAATCTAGTGATAGCTCAGATTCTGACTCAGATTCAGATTCTGAAGAAGTAAGTTCTCTGTTGTACTTGTTTACTCTTGGTAACTTCTCTTGTGATATTTGTATTTCTTAAACATTGTTTTGCTGCTAGCAAATCTTTTGTCTGTGCCATCTTTCTCATGTGTTTACTTCCTATGTCCAGGATACCACTGCTAACACAGTTTCTGTAAAGAAAGAAGAATCTAGTGGTAGCTCAGATAATGACTCGGATTCAGATTCTGATGAAGTAAGTGTTCTGTTACTTGCTTACGCCTGGTTACTTTTTTTGTTGTGCAATTTTAAAATTCCTTCCTATGTTTTGCAGCCAGCAAAATGTACTATTCCTTCTAAGAGGCCTCTGACAACAGAGAAAAAGAGTGAATATGTATGCATTATTTTTTAAATTTTATTTTCTTGAAAGCATTGTCTTCTGTGATATTTTTTGTACAATTGATCTTGTTGTAATTCAACATTTGCAGTCCAAGGATGATTCTGATGATAGTTCTGATGAGAGTGATGAACTAAAGAAGCCTAAGGTACTTATTTTTTGGTGTTTGCTTTTTCATCTGAAGATTTTGGTTTATATTGCATTTCTTACTCTATCCCAGGATTCATCTTCTGGTGGTGCCAAGCCAGTCTCTAAGGTTGCCAAGAAAGAAAGCAGTGGTGATGATGACAGTTCTGAAGAGAGCTCCAGCAGTGATGATGAAAACGATTAATCAATGTCAATGGCAAAGTCCAAGCAGAACGAAGTATGGTTTGAGTATATTTATGCTGCTGTAATTTTTCCTCTTATGTTTGATGGTAATCAGCCTCTAACTAGCTTCCTATTTTCAGGAACGAAGATCTGAATCACCCTCACCCCTCTAGAGAAATCGGTTTACTCATTCAAGTTCTGGAAATTCTTTATAGCTTTCTGAGTTTACTTTGGTCTTGCATGTGTTAGCTTTCTGTTTGTGCCCCTTTCTATGTCTCTTTCTTGTGTGCAAGCGCTCCGTTCTGTGTGTGTGACTGTGTGGCTTGACTATGTGTGGCTTTTTTGTGTGTGTTGCTTGACTCTCTGTGTGCGTGTGGCTTGATTGTGTGTGGCTTGATGGTGAATATGTGTGTGGCTTGACTGTGTGTATGCTTGACTCTGTGTGTGTGTGACTCTGTGAATATTGCATTTGCTTGATGGTGTGGTTTGTATGCTTTGTTGAATGATTGGTTGTGGCCTAACACTGCCTTTGCCGGTCCCAAGCCCGGGTGTGAAAATGTGGAGGGAGCTGCAGTTACCTTCTTTGTATTGCATTACGAGTGTCGATAGAAACTACACAGTTTAGGTTACTGTCCTAATCGAATAGTGAATCTTCACATAATTTGTTAGCATGTGATTCAAGCTTTAAAATGCATCCTTCCTTGCTATAAACTTACTGATTCCTTTCTGAAGTTGTATGGGGTCAGTGTTTTTCTTACACGATACCAAAGGGAAGTGAGTAGCTAAGAATCTTAGGTGACGTGTGCTTTCTGGTTTTGATTGTGTCTCCTTGTTTGCCACGTATCAGTTTTGTATGTCGGATTGTTTGGGCCGATTTCTTTGGGCTCTTCTCATGGTACGGGTGTGTTCCTTTCTTTTTTCTTCTGCTGCTATAATAAGCTATCTATGTCTGTTTCTTTCCATTTTTTGTGTGCACACGCTCCATTGTGTTTGTGTGTGTGATGTGCCCCTCTCTATGACTGTTTCTGTCTGCTTCTTGTGTGCATTGTGTGTGTGATGTTTCCCTATCTATGTCTGTTTCTTGTGTGCAAGCGCTTGACTGAGTGTGTGCTTGTGTGACTCTCTGTGTATTGCATTTGCTTGATGGTGTGGCTTGTATGCTTTGTTGAATGATTGGTGTGTTTTGTATTGTTGTGGTTTAACACTGCCTTTGCCGGTCCCAAGCCCGGATGCGAAAGTGTGGAGGGAGCTGCAGTTACCTTCTTTGTATTGTTTTCCTGTCCTAATCGAATAGTGAATCTTCACATAATGTCGTAGCATGTGATACAAGCTCTGAAATGCATCCGTCCTTGCTATGAAAAATCTAGCAAGTTGTAACTGTCTAGAATTTGTCAGCATCGATGTTCTTTTCTGCTAATATATACACTTTTTTTTCTTCTAAAACCAGTCATCTGTTTTTGATTTGGCTTTAGGTTGAATTTTGTGGCGGAGATCAGATCATCATATTGTCCTCTTGATTGAATCAATCTGGTATTCTTTTTTCTCTGCTATTAACTGTGCTTCAAGGTGCACTTCTCTTCTTAGCTGATTCCGTTGGTACGGCGCTAATTAATGTCACTGGATATGCCTCAGTGATATGTTGAACTACTTGGGAAGAAACTAAGCTGGCGCCTATTAGCAATATGCAAAGCAAAACATTACCTACTGAATGACTGGCTGTGTATATTGCTTTCACTGTTCGATCTCACATTCAATAGAATTGCATGATTTGGAGAATTAAGTTAGCAGCGCTACGCTACTATATACTACCCTGATACCCTTAATAAACCCAGCTCTAGTCTCATCTAGTTTAAATCTTGATGTGAGCAGGTGGAAGGGAGGCATCCTCATCCTGCTGCTGCTCGGCCCGGTGGCGTCAAACTGCATGCTTTTTTTTCGTGAATGCTACTGGTTGTTGTTTATCTGGCGACAAGAAAAGTGCTGTGTAAATTATATTATTGGCAACAAGCAAGCTTTTATGAGGTTGAGAGAAGAACCAGTAATGTAGCTGCATGGAGACTAAGACTACCATTTGTAGTTTATATTGTTTCAGTCGCTTGCTGTGAGTTAGTTGTTTATGGACATGTGTTTGGGTAGGAGCCATATGTAGCAGTTGTAATGATGTGTTGGCTGCGCCTAATCTACTTAGAGAAGAGCAGAGCAGAGTGTTTTAGAGAAGTAGAGATGCAAGAGTTTTTTTTTTCTGCAGAGCAGAGCAGAGTGTTAATATCTACTGTAGATGTCTGCGGTTTGTTTTGGGAGAAGGCTTCAGGTTTTGAGGAATCACTCAATTTACAAAAAGCTGACAAATGCACAGCGTTCTGGGATTAATCAAATCCCCAACAGAAGATTTACCCTCTGGTGGTCGCCAGCCATTAATCGTGCAAACGTATATGTTGGTTTCCACTTTCCAGGTTCAGTGAGAATATTAACTGGTTCCCCCGCCCGGGTCAAAGCCCCTCCTCCAGCAAGCAATGAGCAAGATCATGAAGGTAATAACCATGCTAACTGTAGCAAATCTAGCTCTATGGCAATATCTCTGTTGTAGTAAAAGAAAATCTTATTTAATAAATGGCATGCTTGTTTATTTTCTCTTTTGACAGTCAAATCCTGCTCTGTATGTGCTGTGGGAGAGAATAAGAAAGGGTCTTCAGTTGTATTCATCTGAACCCACCGAGCCGTATCTGTCTTCACAGAACTACGGTGCGGAGGGATGATCATCAATCAAATCATATGGTTTGTGGATGACACAAATGTCTATCAAGTAACCATTTCTTATTTTCAATCCAACAACTGGTCAAGTATTTCTGAAGGTTTCCTGTATGGGCAGGATAATCCCCAAGTCAAGGAGATGAGATGCATATCCATTTAGCCACATCATGGAACTCACCAGATGGTTCTTTATAACATATACGATGACTGGTTGAAAAGTATCTCGTCCTCCACTGCATTCTCTCGTCTTGTGATTATACTACGAGCATTACATGTCGATAATGACAAAGTCCAACGTATTGCTGAAGCCTGACGAGACAATGGTTATGGAACCGCGTCATATCTGGCCATCAATCTTTGACTGATGAGCAGTGGCTCAAGGTTGAATGTGTGCTCTGGGATCTCAATCATTCTGATCATGCAAAGAAAAACAATGTTAATAATTGTGCACTTGCGCAATCTGAGATTCATGGTATGATACTTGGTGGTAACAGCAGAGGCAACAGATAGCTGAGATTGAGAAACAGGTATGTAAATCTTTTTATAACAGCAGTTTGGTAACAAATGTGGTTCGTATATAGTCTTTTTAGAGATTTCGATATGGACTACATCCGGAGCAAAATGAATGAATCTACACTCTAAAATATGTCTATATACATCCGTATATAGTCCATATTCAAATCTCTAAAAAGATTTATATTTAGAAACGAACTTTGGTCATTACATTTCAAAGTTTTGAAATCAGAGAACTACATAACCTATGTGAGCAAAGTCATGAGAAAAGATAAAAGAACAGCAAAACTGCTACGTACGGTTGAAAAGAAAGAAAATGGTGATCAGGATGCTAACCAAGTACACTAAATAGGACTCTGCTCCAGCTGATCTGTGATGTCCGAATTAACAAGAGGCTGCACGGCACGCTTGACGCCCTCGTCGACCCACTCCAGCGACTCCCACCACCTCATCTGGACAAGGGGGACGCTGATGTTGCGCAGCCTCCGCGGCATGGTTGTCATCAGGAACGGGAGCCTCTTCAGCTTTGGACAGAAGGATATCTCCATGGTCTCAAGGGACGGGAATGTCACCTCGGGGTCGCAGAGGCTCGACAGCCCGGGAAGGCTCTGCAGCTCAAGGTATCTGAGGCAAGGGAAGCCATGGACCGGTGCTTGCCCCCTGTCTTCTTCCCCAGCGCCGCCGTCCTTCTTCTTGGTCCGGACGATCTGTTTCATGCCGCCGCAGTTGTTCACAAGGATCCTCTCGAGGCAAGGCAGGTGCATGGCCCATGAAATGTGCCTGAGACTCTGGCAGTGCACGACTGCCAGGTAGGTCAGCCTCGGAAAAAGAGACTCCGGAGCCACTCTCTTCCAGATGACCCCCTTCAGGCTGCGCAGGCTGTCGAGCGTGAGCGATCTGAGCACGTCCAACTGGGAGACTGCTCCTTCCGCGCCGCTTCTCACCAGTATCTGCTGCATGCAGCACTTGTAGATCGTCAGGTCGTATAGGCTCGCTTGCACCGAGGAGCTCGAGAAGCAGCCATCTAGGAAGCAGAATGTTGGTGTCCCTGTCAGCCTGCTCAGATGGATGGATCTAACAGGGAGGCCCGGAAACTTGCCTAGCAGTTCATATGCCGCGTCACCTTTGACCCCGACCTCCACAGCTTTCAAGTTATCCAGCAAGTCCAATTCTGGGAACAATGATAGAGTATAGTTTGCGTGTGTCGAGACCTGGGACGACAGCAGGTCAAGCACTTGCAGTTCCTGCAGCCTTGATATGGTGCCCTTTGGTACGGTGTGTATCGGGTTGCCTCTTAGGTATAGGAATTTGAGCTTGGTGAGGTGTCGAAGGTCCTTGGGCAACTCAGTGATGTAATTGTAAGACAGGTTGAGGTACTCTAGATCTCCCAGAGCACAGACTGCTAAAGGCAGAACACGAATGTGGTTCTGACTCAAATCTAGGTATGTCAATGAAGTGAAGAGGTAAATATTTCCAAGTGCCTTCTCGTTGAACTTATTATCTTGAAGAAGCAGTGTCCTGAGTTCTGTGGAACCAGAACCAAGAAAACACTTGGATCTGACACTGCAGCCCATGCTATTTTCATTCACGCCACCACCAAGATACGGAAGTTCTTCCAGTCCGTTGCCCATCATTGACAGATACTCCACCCTGTTCCAAGGGATGCACTTTCTAGACGCAGTTTTGCCGATCGCTGCGTGAACGACCCATTTGTTATTGTTTTCACCGCAGCCGCAAGATATCCATATCGCCATATCACGGATCACATCATGCATTTTGAGGTGCTTACTACTGTCCTCACTACCTTCCAGCAAAGATGCAGCTTGCAGGTGGCCTATTATGTTGTAGCCTTCACTGTAAGAACTCTGTACGTCGCACTTATTAAGCAGACCTAAGCCCATCCAACACTGGATCAGATCATCTTTAGCAATAGGAGAATCTTCTGGCCACAGTGAGCAAACCAGGAAACAACGTCTCATGGTATCATTCCCTAAGCTATCATAGCTAAGTTTTAACTTGAAGTAAATTGTGTTCTCCACAGACGTTGGATCATCCGCATCGTGGCCAGATCGTCGCAGTAGACGAATAGCTGTTTCCCATTCACCTGGATCTTTCTTTGGATACATTGCCTTTCCGGTAGCTATCAACGCCAAGGGCAGGCCCTTCAGCTCCGTCACAAGCTCTCTTGAAAGGGCTCCAATGTGCGGATTGGATAAAAGAATCTCTTGGCCAACGTTCTCTTGGAAGAGCTGCAATGCCTCATCTTGCCTCAAGCAATCCACTTTTATCTCTTTTCTGACCTTCATTGTACCACACACAACTCGTGACCTTGTTGTGAGTACTACTTTCCTCTTGAATTGGCCGACAAATCCAAGAGGATGTGTGATGCCAGCTGCTTGCAAGTCCAATGGTTCCCAGAGGTCATCCAGCAGTACAAGAAAACTCCTCCTGCTCAGGAAGTCAGAAATGATATTGGCTTGAGACTCTATATCGTCGTCTTTCCTTAAGCTGAGTTTCTTTACTATTTCAGCTTGGATTTTCTCCACTGAACAATCTTTTGAGGCTGTAACAAAAATAACAACATCGAAGAAAGGGTCTCCGAGAAATGAGTTGTTGATCTTCTTCAGAAGATGAGTCTTTCCCACTCCACCTAGACCCCATATCCCAATCATTCCAACCGGAGAATTCCTAATGCACCTGGCAGCCTCCTGCATATTATGCTCTTCACTGAGCAGTCCACTGGATGAGACAGGCATTTCTCGGACCGATGGTGGCAGCGGCTGCACTGCGACAACACTAGTGTCAATCTTGGCATACTCTTGGGCTTTCAGAAGCTCCTTTTTTGCACTCTTGCTGATTTTGTAGTTTGACCAGCAATTCAGAGAGATGCACCCAAAAACTTGGCATCTCTCATCATACACCTGCCTAATTGCTTCTTCATCGGACTTGATGGTGTCCACATTTTCAAGCCACTTCCGCACTTCATTCTTTGCTGTCATGCCATTCCTCTCGGCAATCTCAATCTCATACCGGACATCGTTGCCCTTGGCGATCAAACCCTGGGCTGCTTCTTTGAGATGCTTCACGTTTCTGCTAGCCGTGAAGGGGTACATTACATGCTTGAAGACGATATGGTAAATTGGAGTAATCAGAGTGTTGACTATTCCAACCACATATGCCATTGTTGTAAGCCTGTAAGCAGCACAAGAAAATAAAACGCCCTTGAGGAAGCTGTGCAAGATAGATAATATTTTTGTTAACTAGTGGTTCCAACTTCCAAGTGAGCAGTCAGACATATATAGATGGCAAGAGCCAGAGGATATCAATGTGCTGAAGAACATGTACTTACCTTCTGGTTTGGACTAAGCAAGTTTTGAAGAAGTGATGAATTATATCGAGATTCTTGTTATGAAAGCGCCCGAGTTGCTACCGTGTAGGGTGGAGGAAAACCTGCAGTTATAAAGAAATTTATTAATAACGACATGAACATGCTCTACATTTTGTGGGTAGGAATAGGGTAAAGAATCCAAGGACTTATTTAATTAGACATCAGTTTCAGGGCTGAATAGTTTGTTCTTTTTTTAGCAAAAGGCCCTCCTCAAGTGGGTAGTCACATTCAGTCCATTGTAGAGGTATTCATCATTACTTTCTCTTACGCTAAAACTGGATCGTGCCTGGAGGATTTATATTTTTATTTGTTGCTCGAATGCGCATCATTTGCATATGAAGGAAGAGCGCATCTAAGGTGTGAGAAAAAAAAACACCAAATAAAAAGAAAAAAAGGGGAAACTGAAAGGATTAATTGCCAGGATGATAAAGGACAGCAGATGAGACATAGTTGCAAGCCAGCAGAGTTTACAAGATCCAATCTAATTCAGGTTACATATCATGTTGGGCGACTGACGACCTGGGAAGATGCCCAAAATGTCCCCAACCAGAGGCAGATAGCAAGGTCCGGTGACGGCGTGGTGTGGAGATTCAGGTGACACTTGCGGATGGTTGCATCACAGATCGATCGCGCAGCCCGACCGAAATGAAGCTAGAAACAGAGTACTGTACTTATAAATATGCATACAGGAGACGCAGAGAAGTGATGGATGGCCAGGAGTCAGGAGTAACTTGCCTGCCCCACGCGGATCGGGTTGGGACTTGGGAGCAGGATCGATGGCTTCCTCCAACGGTCCGGCCAAGCCCAATCTCGCCGCCCGAGGCTTCACCCAGCCAGATCCGCTCGCTCGAGGCAGCACTTGTAGGTGTAGAGGATGGACGGACTGCGGCAGTCTCCCCTGCGCCCGACCCCGACCGGAGCGCGCGCCTCGCCGATGGTGGTCTAAAATCCCAAATCCACCAAACCGCAGATATGAATATGATGTTGCTTGACTGAGTGACGACCCTGTGTAGAGGATGGACGCACTGCGGCACAGGAATCTTCCTCCTACTACTCGCCGAGCGAGCGACAAGCATCTCCACCCAGCCCGCGCTCCATACACGCCGAGCTTATCCACGAGATTCCCTCACCGTGCCTTCAAGTTTTTTTGTTTCCCACCACCCCTTTTTCTTTTCTTTTTTATTAATTAAGAAGAGAGTGAGAATTGACTGGTTATTTTACGAAAGGAAAACAGGCTAAAACCGATACAACCAACCCAACCCAGCCCACATGACATTGGTACCACCGACCAACCTGGCCGCCTACATGGAACACATAGCTGCAAAGAAGAAAGACATCCGCCGAGGAGTCGCAAACGTCATCGTCATTACCGGTTGCCCCCCAAACGGGCGACTCCAACTTCACCGTAGAGCTCCATCATCGGAGCCAATCCGCAAACAGTTGCATAAAAAACCACACGCGCGAGCAACCGACGGCTCCAACTTTGATGACAAGAGTTGCAAGGGAAATATGCAAGACTTGCACCAGCCGTGCCCTCTGCAACCGACCACCGAGTGTCTATCATCGTCGTCACCTGGACCCGCTCCACCGCTGCTTCGACTTCAGAGCTACCAAGCAACCCACGAAAGAGCACCTCGGACATGCCGGGAAGAACCGACTACCGAAGTCCACGCCGCGACCCAAGCTCCTCTTGATGTCATCATCGCTGCCAAAACAGGAACCAGCACCCCGCCTCAGCAAACCATGCACGTGGCCAAGATGTCGCGATCCACCGGTCTCCCAGACGTGGGCGGCTCCGAGACCATGCCCCAAGGAGGAGAAAGACGTGAAGACGCCTCCATTGCCCAATCCAGCGGATCTGAGGTTTTCCTTCGGAGGGAAAGCCATGGGAAGGAAGGGTCCACCTCCATGATGACGCTTCAAATAAAGGTCGCGGCACCCGCGGGCGTCGCTGCTGACGGTTCCGATGAGGATCAGAAGGGATTTCTCCTAGAGATGTGCCAACCACCTACCGCCAGCGACCGCCGCTCACCAACCACCACCCCTGCAAAGAGCAAACTCCCTTTAGACGCGAGATCCCTTGATCCACCGCACCTAAACACGCACCACCACCCTGGTCATAATCGTCGTCCACCACCGCAGCACCACCGTGACCACCACCGCCATAGTAACCAGCTCTGTATCGCAAGTACGGCCACCTATATCAAAGACCAAATCCAGATCAGAGCCACCCGAGTGAGCAGCGGAGAAGCTAGCAGGCCCGCCACCCGCGCACACCTCGCGCTAGAGTCGTCGTGCCCGCCGCGCTCAGCTGGTTGCCACGCCCGGCCTACGCCAGACGACGCAGGGCTCGGCCATCGATTCGCACCCCGCGCACACATTTGGAGCCCAGTACCGTCGCACGCACCTTGCCACGCCAAGGCCACGCCGAGAGTCCAGACCGGGGTCGCCGCCCCGGCACTCCATCGCACCACGTCGCGCTCGAGGGCACACACACCGCCGCCTGTAGTCGACCGGAGATCCCCCCCCCCTTTGGAGTGGGGCCGGCCGCCATCGTGTCTGGGGCCAATGGCAGCGGCGGAGGAAGGAGACGATGGGGGAGAAGGCCGACGGCGGGTGGCTATGTTTTCCCCGAGCCGCCTGAGCTAGGCGACACGAGGGTCGGGAGAAGAGGTATCCTCCAGAGAGCACATGTTGCGAGCGGCCAGAGATCCGCACCACTCTTATACAGAGTATTTACGTTCACAAATATAAGATGTTTTAGATATTTCCATATGAGGGCCAGTTAGACATACGGACTCGCGATCTAGCGCCGCCGCCACCCAACACCATTGCGAGATCCCTCCTCCGCTGCCACCTCCCCCCGCCACACCTTCCTCCCTTCGCCGTTGCCTGAGGCACCCTCCGGTAAAGTCCGGATGTCGATGTGTCGGCTGCCGCCTCCCTTTCGGCCCTACAGCCGCATTCTGCGCCACACGGCTGACATAGGCACGTCAGCGCGCCAACATAGCGGTGCGGCTGCAGCTCCAAGCGCCTATTGCCCTTCCTCTCACCGTTGTGGCGTATGGAGCCATTGGATCTGCCGGCGGCGGCAGCGGCGGCGAAGAAATAGGGGTTTTCTTGACCCCTGGGGCGATTGGGGTTTTTTCTAGAGAAGTCACCTGGCATACTTGGGCTATAAGGCTCGGCGATGCACGGGAATAGAGGCATCGATGTTCGCATCGCACCGTTGCAGCGCCGACGCATGGCAATTGGTGAAAAATGGGCGGGGTGGATGCGCGCTGACAAGCGTTCTGGTGGCAACAAAACTACTCCCTCTCTCTCAGTTTACAGGGCGTGCGTGTAAACTGAGAGAGAGGGGGTAGTCCAGTCCTTGCCGCAGCGTGGAGTGATTTGACAAGTTGCGTGTGCTAACACTAGATAAGATCCACCTATACTAGAACGTATACTCTATTATCTCCTTGTATTGTTGCTAGGTGATACCTTGGATGAGGAAAACAACTATAACTCGATGGAAATCCACTAAATCCACAGCGTGGAAACTTTCTAGGTACGACATACCCGTAGCAACCAGCCGGCACCCGCTCCCCCTCCATCGTGAGTGCTAGCTTGCAGCTGAACATCGCACGGCTACCAAGTTTTCTGGAATACGGACGTTCTCCCATAAGCAGTATTCCGTCCGTCCGAAAATACTTGTCATCAAAATGGATAAAAGAATACATCTTCTTTTATCTATTTTGGTGACAAATATTTTCGGACGGAGAGAGTATCTGTCAATTCCTTGTCCAGGGTGAATATCGTCAGATAACTAATCACTGATTGCTGGAGGGATGTACGTATGATGGTAATGTGGCGCGGTTCTTCTCTAGAGGTTGCTCTAGAGGAATGAATCAGGGGCTCAGGCTCCCGGTTGGACTATTTTAATTTCATGGCCTATTGGCTATTAAATAAAGTACTCCCTCCTCCCCGAATTACTTGTCTTAAATTTGTTTAGATACAGATATATCTAGACATGTTTTAATTCATATCTAGAAAAATCTAAAACAAGTTTTTTGGAACGGAGGTAATACTCTGTTTGTAATTCATTTCCTTTTCGTTTGTTATCATTACTTCTATGTATTCTTGCCTCTTCTTTCTTCTCATTTTCTCTTGCTTAGGCTGGCGGTTTATTTTGGCTCCTTCGTTTTCCTGCTTCCATACACAAGCCTTGTTTTGTTTTGAGAAAAGTATATTTTCATCCCTCAACTTTTGGTGAAGTCTACATTTGGTCCCATAACTCCGAAACTGGACATTTTACACCCCCAACTACCGAAACCGGACAAGGTTCGTCCTTGGTCTCGGTTTTGACCGGTTTTGGTGCTGACTCACCCCGGCTTTGACGGGAGCTGACTCAAATTCATGTATTTTTTTCATACCTATGAACTTTTTGAAATTCAAGTACTCTTTTCAAATTCACGTAGTGTTTTCAAGGTTGCGTAATTTTTTCAAAAATAAAAATACTTTTTTTCAAATCTATGAACTATTTTAAATTTTGCATACTTTTTTCAAATCTGACTTTTTTAAATATACGTAATTTATTAAATCCGCATATTTTTCCCAAGTTTGTGTAATTTTATCAAATCCAAGTATTTTTTTTCAAGTTTGAAATGTACATGAATATGAAAAAGTACATCAATTTTAAAAAATTACATGAATTTGAAAAAACTACATGAACTTTAAAAAAGTATGTGAACTTGGAAAAATTACGTGGATTTGAAATAAGTACGCGAAGTTGGAAAAATTACGCGGATTTGA